GTGAATTATAGCGTGTATTAAAGTTAAAATGACTGTGGAAATTAAGTGAATTGCAAAGTTATATTGAGAAAGAATAAACTAGTTTTATTTAAGAAAGGACTTGTATCGCTGAAGTTTCTCGGGAAGAATTTCTACGGGAAATTAACAAACGAACAGAAGCGTAACAATAGGAAGGAGGAAGAGGTCTGAATAGGTCCTCCCAGGTCGCGCACAATGATTAAAATACCAATGCAAACAAGGGGCTATTCTCTCTGTTAGCAGAAATATTCTTCTTTTGAACAGGCTTGGATTAGACATAAATAAATTCGCAGCTCTGGAAACACTGTTGCCAAGGGATACAAGAAGTGAGTGTCAAAATTACAGAATAAACCTACACTAGCGACGTTAGGCGTTGGGGAACATAAGCAAATGTCTTTAACGTTCGTTCCCAAGTTGGTATACATTTACAGGAGGTAAAAATGGTCATTTCAAATATTTTTCATTTACAATTCTCTTTTGAGAAAACAGTGTTAAGAGCTTAACTAAAGGTTGAAGTAGGTTATACTTACAACTCTGTTGTAAGTTAACTTTATGCAGTCAATTGTTTTGACTAATATTACCAATAATAATATTATTATTATTAATAATGTAGAGTGGAGTGAGATATTTGACTATTCCGATATTTCCCATTGTCATTACTATAAATGAATATGGAGATTGATACGACATGAACAACAAAAGAAATGGATTGAAACCTGTGCATGACTTAGAATATATATTTTTTGTTGTTTCATGCTAAGTATTATCCTGTTGTTTATATATGTTTGTAATCTTCACTGCCATTATGGGTGTAATGTAATGTTATCTTGCCAGCCATTAATTAAAGGCACTGTGAATGAAATTAAAAGAATAATAGTAACCGTATTCTTTCTGTGCTACTTATATTTATTTACTTGTTTTGTTTAACAGTACACTCATGTATATAGACAGTTGCAGTGTATATAGAATTTACAAAGTAAATGCACAGCTGCAGTGCTTGAATAAAAGTTAAATCTGCACTAAATAGATGACACTAAGTTAGGCTATGATACGTGTAGTGTCATAGCTGACACCAAGTTAGGTTTTCTTTGGTTAGAATTGTTTTTGGCAAGGCACTTCAGAATTTAAGTTAGATAATGTGGTTTTAAACATGTTACAGAGCTAATGTGATAGTAACAGATATGTCTTAATAATAAACACTAATTCAAATGAAATGGTTCAAAAGTCTATTCACTCTCCCTATTTCCAATTATAAAGTGGATGTTTAATTAGATGTTTGCAAAGCCATTCACTTTTCCAAGTTTTTGTTGACTTTCAAAGACATTTGAATGTTTATGTTTTGAAAAATTATGAAAAGTTTAAAGTGAAATACACCACAACATTTTTACTTGAATGACTATTATGTGTTAGACTTTGCAAATTTAATTGTAAGATTATTTTATTACAAAATTTATTAATTAAGATGTAGATGATGCCATTATTAAGATGTTTACATCAATAATATTTAGATTTCTGTCATGTAGCCACCCTTCAATAATTAACTAGTTTTTCCTCAAAACATACTGATGTGATTTTCTCAGCTAATCCATGTGATGTCTTATCAAATATTCTTTCAAAATCTGACTTCATCCAGATAACAAGTAATGTCTTAAAAAAGTTAACAGACTAGTTAGTTAAGATTTCTCCTTAGTGGACCCATGTCGACTTTTTTTTTACATCTTTTTTCACAAAATCGTCTTTTATCATGCTAGAGTATTTCCTACTAAAGATATAAGACCAACTGGCCTATGATATCCAGAGCAATCTTTATTTGCAACATTAGCAACTTTCTAATCGTTGAGTTCATTTATTGATTACATTAATTTGTCTGTTATTATCACGAGACTAGGACAGTTGGAATAATCAGAAACATTAATTTCATTTAGTTGATTATTTTATTTGGTTTTGACACTATCCAGTTAAGCCGAATAACCTTGAATTAATCAAAAATAATCATAGAATTAAGAAATCATAATGGCAATATTTTGATAAGTTGGTTATTTTCAAGATATAAATCAATTTAATTGAATTTAACATAATCAGTGTTTTATGTGACATGAGTTAATGCATGCACGGCTTATATGTAATCAATTAATGAAGTTAATTGTCCAGTTCTAGCTTTAAACTTTGACCTTAAAACTCTGGGATGAAGCATTTAGTGGTCTTGGTGTTGTATTTGTATCTATTTTTTATTCCTCAGTCTTTTTACTTTTCCCCAAGGGATTAATATTTACACGATTCAGTTCAATTCCAATATTTTTCATAGCTTTCTGAGAGTCAGAAATAATGATAAGATACTCTTTTGTAAAAATAAAACATTTAAAAGCTTAGCTGTCTCATAGTCTTCAATAAAAACTTTGCCATCAGCATCTTTTAAGGTCTCAATATCCATTTGAATATTTTTCTTACCTTTACATAATTAAGAAGTTTTCAGTTTTCACATTGTCAGCCACCATTTTCTCATAAGTTATTTTTGATTTCCTTATTTCTTTTTCAATTATATATCTAGTTTTCCTGTATAATTCTGTATATCTTCCATCCTATCTGTCAAGTTAAACTCCTTAAACTTTGATATGATATTTATCTCCGATTTCTCCTTTACATCAGTGGAAAGCTAATTAGATTAGAATTTCAATGTTAAATCTTTTCCTCATTTTAGTAATATCTACTTTGAAATAAAACAATTTATCTTTAAAAATTTCCCAGATCCATCTTAAACCATATTTTCATTCATTATTCCAAATTACTAATGATAAGTTACATGACTTCAAAATTGTCATTCTGAAAACTAAACAAATGGATGAGTGTCTATAAGACTGGAATGTGGCCCAAACTTGTTTTCAAATAAGAGTATGTTTATGCTATATTAATCACATAATGATTAATGTTTGTTTCTTATAAAATTCTTCAACTTACAGAGAGTCAAATTTAGCCATTTAAAAAAGAAAATTTGTTGAGATGTTGTTGCTCATTTCAGTCCACAGTGAATCCATTCCAGAATCAAACTCAATTTTTATATATGATTTCAGTATTTGTTGCAAAAAGTAGATTTGTTTGGCCTATTTACAGTCTTAACTTTTATTTGTATACTATTTTATGATTAAATTTTTGCAACTGCTATGGCCCAGCATTCAGACTAAGAGTGATGCTATTTCAAAAGACATGGTAGAGTATGCAAATAATTGAAGGACAACATGAGCAAAAATTTCACTGATGAAGCTTGGGTCAGAAGTGAATGTCAAATGAACTTCTATAAAAGATTAGTTTCCTCTAAATTTTAAGATAGACCCTTGATAATGAAGACAACTCAAGAGTAACAAACACAACATGCAACACCTTTAAGCAGTCCAAAGTTCATAGGGCTACTTGATATGTGCACCAATGCTTTTGGACTTGAAAGTTGTATAAATCACCTAATTAGCAATTGATTTACACCAGAAGATTGTAATCAACTTACTAATAAAAGACACAGGCATGAATGTCAGTGACCAAGACATAACAAGTTTTTCATGTGGATCTATGATAAGCAGCTCAGGTTTAGTTTTCTGACAATCCATTGAGTGTACGTGACAGTGAATATTACAGTCTCACTGGAATATATAGAGAGAACCATCTGCATTGCTTTTAAAGTTAATGTCTCCCATGATTATTACGTCAGTATCATTATTAGTAAGAACCCCGAATTTTTATGAAGTAATTATGTTTTGATTTGTTGTATTGTTATTATAACTATTAGAAATCACCATGTAGAATTTGCTACATGTAGGCCCATATTTCATCATTCCAAGTAAAAAGTATGCCCTAAAACATGCCAGAGTTATTCACAGGGTATTTTTTTTTATGGAAGGAATTTATCACTACCTTTGTTAATCAACAATGAAGTAACATAGTAAAACATATTTCAGAAACAAAGTTATGAAACTTAATAAAATATACTGAGATTTATTCTTTTGCAAACTGTTGCTTTAAGCTTGATTAGACAGAATAGCATTAATGAAGTTAAAGAAAGCAGGACAAATAGAAAGGTTGTGTTAAGATGTATCAGCTATTTTTCACCTTTGTTGCTCTAGTTTATTATCAAAAGAAAAATATATAATATTAGACTAGAATAGTATTTGGTTTGTGAAGACCATAAAAATAATAATTAAGAAAATATGTTGACAGGTAGGGGAAAATGTGGTAAGACAGTAACCTTCAGTAAAATAGCCACCCATGTATATCATCAGTTATGACATGCTGCCATCAGAGTGAATTGTACGTAACTATTGTTCATGTGACCCTGTGCATAAAAATCACCAGTAGGTAGTGCAAATGTAAATGATAAAAAGCAAAATTTAAATATTTTGTTTTTGAACAACTGTGATCTAAGGTGTTACTCCACACTAATGATGCATATTTCTGTCTTAAGGTTTAGCTCTTAATGTATGCCATTGCCCCACACTAGTACCCATGATCTTTTGCACCATTGTTCTGAATAATGAACATCTTGTGAATGGCTTTCTCTATCTCTGTTAGGAACATTAAATAATTCAGGTTAATTAAGTGCAGCATTTATTCTAAGTTGCAGTTATTTTGAGTTAGATGAGGGCCATTTTACCTCATCTTGGATATCTATTTTATCCTACCTTATAGGTAAAACAGACCCCCCAACCACAAAAATTGCATTTTTTCAGGAGTTAATAAAAGTCTGTATTCAGTCTTTGTTTTAACTAGAAGTTACATTTATAGTTAAAACCTTTTGATTTTTCATGATGTTCATCTTAATTGGTGAAACTGCTTTCAGAGTTCAGGTGGCCATCTTATCTCACCTTCCTTTACTGTGTATTTCCCAGTTTGATAATTTTTGGTGATGAGAGAAATATGAAATCCAGCATTTACGGTTGAAACAAATTAGTGGTATTATAGTCAAAGAGCTCAAGTGGAGCATTTAAAAGCATGTAGTCAAGCTATGTGATTGGTTGATTTCGAAAATCATATGAAGATTGTATCCACCATACAATAAAGTTACATGCCAGTAAACTGCAGATATGACTGGTAAGCAAAGAACAAAAGTTCAGTTTTTCCTCTGAAAATACACATGAATATATTAGTTCAATATGTGCATAATATATATATATATATACATTTGTTTTTTTAAATGAGTATACTTGAGTTGTGAAAATATTGTTCTACTTATGAAGATAATTGTAGTTATTAAACCAAAATGGATTGCAGAATGAGGTGTCTACTCCTGACTTCATGCTGTGAATTTAGATTTTATATAATTCTTTCAGTTATGAACTCCAGAAATGGTTTGCATGTTGTGTTTTTACTGTGTGTATAGTTAAAATTCTTGGACAGTGGTATTTGTTGAAAAGATTTGTGGAAGTCAATGCTATATTTAAGAAGTAGTATTGTGATTCTTACCTTAGTTGAAATATTATCTTTTGTCCATACAATCTTTTCAAACGATGCTCTATATTTATTTGTTGAAAACATATAGATCTTCATATAGAAGATGGTAAAAACTGAAATTTCTCGTAAGTATTAAAATTTCAGTGTTCATTATTCTGCATTTATTGAAATATTTAAAACATTTAAGTGGGAAAACATTCATAAGGTTTTCCACAATTATCAATACTATGACAGGTGTACAAGGCACATAATTTGAGAGGGGATTATGATTCTAATATGCTTATTGGCAGAAAAGAAATTATGCATATGTTTTGAAATTATTGTGAATTTTAATCATTTTAGCCAAAATGTACCACTCTTGTACACATACCTTGATGCATTTAAGCATGATTTTTTTTACATCTAATGATCACCCAAAAATGCAATCTGTCTCTGTATACTGGAAATGGAGGGGGGTTTCAGTTACTCCATTCTTTACAGTATAATAATTTTTTTCAGAAATTCTAGAAAAATAGAGTCAATTTGTATACCTCTAATAATGTTGATAATTGTGGTAAGACAGCTTGAAAGTTAAGATGTTTTTATTGAAAATCCCCGCTGATTTTTCCTAGCCCGTTCCATTGGCTTTGGACAATTTAAAGGGTGACATAGAGATGTAACCATGGAAATATTGAGGATGAATGTAGAATCTTTGTCAGATGAGAAACAGAATACTTTATTTGAAGTCAAATTGCTGGAAAGTGAAGAAGAAACTAGTAAGGCATCACCCAGTAAGTGTTATTTTTAGAATTTGAAACTTATACTTTTTAACATGTTTTATGAAGTATATCATCAAAGACAAAAAATTAAAATGTATTTTTGATTCATTATTTGGCTAAGAATCACCAGACTAAGAAGTTAATTTTCAAGAATTCCATTTTCATGTGGCTGAAAGTTAGTGATAGTGCCATGCATGTATAATCCTTTAAGATGTCATAATGCATATACCATATTCTCAAATTTGTTAGTTTGTAAACAACAAATATTTTTATACCTCATTTTAATTAATAGGAGAAGCTGATTCCTCAGAAAAAGGATTTTGTCATTCCATTGTTGTCCTTGGAAAAGAGAAAGAAGAAATAGAAGAAAAATATAAAGTAACAGATGAGATTGAGGTAGTGTATACATAAAACTTTCCAATATGGTACTTCCCTCCTCTCACAAGATTAGCTATTCTCTACATGTGAACTCTTTTTCTTTATGCATGCCACAAGCCTTCTGTTCCCCCCTATTGGGATTAAATTATTCCAATATGTCTCATGCAAATCATCGTGCATCACTTCTCCACCAATAGGAGTGTGACATATTCACGTGACACATGTGACTCCCTCTATACACCTCTACCAAACTATCACTACTTGTTTGGCAGCAGTTGTGCTTGGACATGTTACTTTGTTTGTTTCAAGTTTCACGTTCAACTTTAGTATACTCATGAAGTGATTTTCATTTAAATTACTTCCAAGTTTATTAAGACTGTTTCTCTACTTGAATTTAATCCCAGTTTATCACAGTCATATTATTATTAATAATTTCAATTTTGGTTGACTCTTTTTGATTATGAATTCCAAAATTCATGTTACCACTTCAGGGGTCTCAGGTGTGGGTGACCCAATGGGAGATTTATCAGCGTTTATTTGCAGGAAAATTGAACGTTACATGGGTCAACCTCTATCTCTGGACCTTGCCCCACCTCCTCCCAAACATGCTGAGCCTGTTCAGGTTGATAAGGACTTGGATCGCATATTTCCACCTCCTGATTTTGCTGTGCCTTCCCATGCCCCTCCTGAGGAGTCAGTTAGGCCTACTATGGTCTTTTTGGATTTCGTTTCTCAGGTATGTGATGTTTTATCCCTTGCCCCTATTTCCTATGAACCACATTCTTCCTTACTACATGACCAATCTTCACATCCCTTGTTGGTTTTTCTCCCCTCCCCAGATATTTGGGTACATGCTGACCAATTTGCCTCATAATTAAGTGACAGGATTAGCATGATTCACCCCCCATGTGCTTCGGATTAGCTTGCTCTTGCATATCATCGTGCAGACTGTTATTTTCTAGACCAACAACTGTTAGGTTTTATTTTACCTGTTTGGGAGGGGGGGGCATGGTGGTCTCTGAATATCCTCTAAGTCTGAACCATGCCCAATTTTCCTGCCTTTGTCTTACCCTCACAACTCTTTTAGGGTATCTCTCTGCCATCCATCTCCTCCCTGAGGTTCTCCACCAAAATCCTGAGGGGTTTTCTGGTGACATTCTCTCACTTCTGAACTGGAGTCAGCCAGCCATACTCATCAGCTGCTCGGGTGGGCTGGTTAATCAAATTGGAGAAGTTCTTCCTCCGTCCTACCCAATATCTTGTCTATTTAGGTGTTTTTCTCAACACTCATCTCAGTCAGGCCCAATCTTCTCCTCTACGACTTTGTTACATGGAATTGTTAGTTTGCCACGTCCTTTCAGCTCAGTCACTTTCTGCTTGTGAGGTTCTATTGCATTTGGGGATGTGGTCTTCAATGGCATCACTGGTACCCCTCGGTCATGCACATATGCGATCCCTTCAGTGGGCTCTTTATGATCAAAGGAACCTTACTTGTGATCCCTTGGCAGCTCCCATTACCCTTCCTCAAACCCTGTTGGATGATCTGCTTTGGTGGTTGGACAAGGCCCATACATCGGCAGGCATCCTGCTTCCTCCTCCTTGTCTGGATTTACATCTTTTCATGGACACTTTCTTTAGGACTGGGGTGCATGGGTCAATGCTTCGGGTCTTTGGTCTGTTGATGAAAGATCTTTGCAAATCAATGCCCTTGAGGTTCTCACGGTCTGTCAGGTTTTGAATTACTTCCTTCCTCTTGACAGACATTGTCTGGTGATGATTAATTCTGACAATTCCAAGGTGGTAGCACATATCAATCACTAATGGGGCACCTGGTCAAGATTTCTCTGTTTTCATACATTGGATCTCATATGTTGGGCCCACATGCACCACATTCATCTCATTGCATGTCATGTTCCAGGTGCTTTCAATCTTGTAGTGGATTGTATTTCCTGCCCCAACAAAATTTATCTGACAAATTGGTCTTTAGCTCCCCTCGTATTTTGGACGGCTTTGCAATATGTAGGGTTTCCACACATAGATGCATGTGCCACAGCCCTCAATCACAAATTACCTCTCTTTTGGTCCCCTGTACCTCATCCTCAGCCTCTGGTGGTCAATGCCTTCAGCCAGAATTGGTCCCACAAATTCATTTATGTTTATCCTCCTATTCGATTACTTCATCAGGTGGTCTCTCTCATCCATACCACTCCATGTCGAGTCCTTCTGATTGCTCCCTGTTGGCCAGATCAACTGTGGTTTCCATGATTACACCAACTGCAACTTTACTCTCCACCCCTTCCATTATCTTTTCATCAACCTCGGCCCCCAGTTCTGCATCCCGCCGTTCATGTCTTTCATCTTCACATCTGGCTTATATACGGTCCTTGGTAAGGAGATCAGGTTTCTTTCATCGAGTAGCTTTCATTTTGGCTCATTTCATATGTTCTTCTGTAATGGAGGTGTATCAGTGCAAATGGAAGGTGTTCCACAGTTGGTCTACTACTTGGGGATTCCCCACTGAGTGACGTACTGTGGCTGAGTTTCTCACTTGGCTTTTCAACCAGGGGTTTTTGGTCTCTTCGATCTCGGGTTATCGGGTTGCCTTATCCTATACCATTTGTTTTCAAGATACTATAGAGTTTTTACTTCCCCTGTCCTTACCATGTTAATGTATTCCTTCCAGATTTGTCATTCTCCCAGACAGCCTAGTCTTCTGGACTGGGATATTAATATGGTCCTCCTTCCCTCACTTTACCTCCGTTTGAACCTATTTCCACCTCTCTATGTTTCATCTTTCCCTTATAATGTATTTCCTTCTCCTCTTAGCCTGTGGACGTCGAAAGTCTAATCTGTTTGCCATTGACATTCCACATACGCTTTACCACCACACCTATCTTCTCCTTTATCTGGATTGTTTCTTCCTCTCAAAGATCTTCTACCCTCACCAATTGGGTTCAACATTTGATTCAATTAGCTTATTCCTCCTTATCTTCTTCCCACCGGAATTTGTTCAGGGCATCTTTTCATCAGATTCAATACCTCATGTTTTCCCTCACATCTCATCTTCGTCAGCCATTAGAGAAAATCCTACAATCGGGCATGTGGACTACACCTAATATGTTCATCTCCCATTATTTACACCATATCGAGGTTTCTTCTTCGAGTTTTCGTCTTCTACCTTTGGACCTTCTTCAAGCTTTGGGCAACTTTGATTGGGTAAGTCTATATTCATACATTCTTTTCATTTCAGGGGTCTTTGCTTTATTAATTTGTTATAGGGATCCTGCACTGCACAGTCATGTTGACTCATGCTTTAACTACCATGGCTTCACAATGCTCACTGTTGGGTTGAGGTGTTCCACAAGAATGCTTGGAGGTGAATAACCTGGTAATGTAATTGCTTCATAAGCTTGTCCATTCTGGACCGTATCATCCATAGATTGCATGGGTAAAGCAGAAGGGGATGGCTGACTATCCCTGCCATGAATAAATGAGTATGGTCTGCTTTTCAAAGTAGGATTTTGTGGTCACTCATTGCACTGTCTCAGGTAATGATGTTTCTCCAGACTCCACTACATTCTCACCCCTCTTTCTTCTAGTGGGATATGGGAGTCCTTACCACTTTCCAGTTCCAAACTGCTGGGGTGATCAACTGAAGAGGCACCCTCCTGTATGGGTTCCACACAAAGATGGCTATAACCATTCAGTGCAGAGTTAAGTGGTGGTGTTCTGCGGGTGTATGATGTGATATCCTCCACTGTGTGTTATACAATCACTAAGGAGCGATACGTTAATTTGCAGTTCACCTCTTTGATTTGGAGTCCTCATCCTACCCCTGCATGGATGTTGGTACACTATGACTGGGGTTTGGATTGAGAATAGAACCAATCAAAATCAGTCCTTACACATGTTTATGGTTGTCTAAGTTCCTCCCTCTATTATACTCCTTCTGTGTTGTGGGTCACAGCAGAGGTAAGGGGAATTGTTTTGGTTCTGTCCTTTTTGCTATCTCTCATGTATCTTCTTCTGAGGATGTTATTACTTTTTGAATGGATCTGGTTGGTTTTGCTGTTGGGGGAGTTGATTTATATTTGATAGAAGAGTCAGATTCGTAGATCTGATGAGGGGAACTGCACCACATCCAAGTGGGAGAGAACTGAGGCAGGATAGTGATGCTAAACCCAAAATATATATGGAACTTAATCCCACAAAGTATGAAAGTGGGCAAATAAATGGATCTGCCCCTAGGTATAGGTAGAGTGGCTAGAGCATGACAAACTGTACTCAGTAAGTCAACTACCTCCAAAACCCATGCCGCTGGGGACCAACATCCACACGGGGGTAGGATGAGGATCATAATGTCTTCATCTCAAGTTCAAGAGCCCAGAGGGAATCTGGAACCCCTCTGACTCCAGAACATGACACGTGTTAGCTTTGATATATCGAACTGAGGACCTGACATGTGGTATCGAAAGGATGCTCATTTTCAGGGGTATACTTTGGATGCTTTTGGGGGGTACTTCTGTCATTCCCTGGCACTGGTCCCTCCACCTTATCAATGTGCCATATCAGAAGTTATAATTTTCCTGAAAATGTATTTCTGATAGGAATTTCCCTCTTCTCACACTTCTCACCCTTCCTCCCCACTTTCCTCTGATGTTTACATCTTCTGCCAAACTTCGAAGTGATAGTTTAGTAGAGGCGCACAGAGGGAGTCATATGTGTGACGTTCCTATTGATGGAGAAGTGATGCATGATGATTTGCATGAGAGACTTGTTGGAATAATTTGATTCCAATAGGGAGGAGCATGTGGCATGCATAAAGAAAAAAGTTTGCATATAGAGGGCAGCACTGGACGAGAATAGGTCATCTTGTGAGTGTAGGGAAGTACCTATCGGAAATACATTTTCAGTATAGGAAAATTATAACTTCAATAATTTTCGTGCTGGAGAAAGATAACTGTAACTGAGAGAACAGCTAAATAGTATTTTAATTCAAATATTTTTTATGTTGTCCA